TTTTTTTTAATATGCTATATTTTTTATAATTTTAAATTTTCAATACTTATCGAATACACATTTTTTTAATTATTTTCAAGACGTATCAGATATTTTAGGACACGTAAAGAAGAGTTTTATTGATTTAAAATTTTTCTTAAACTCATTATCATTGAGTAAAGATTGACAAAAAAATTTAATTAATAGATAAACAAATATACGATTAGAGTTTTAAATTAATTGACGACTAGAATTTTTTATTTGAAATACAAATAGTATTAAATCTTTTAATTCATATAAAATCGTGTTAATAGTTGACAAATATATTTTTTATTGTTGAAAATAAATAATAGTATTGAATGATACATGTAAAATTGTGTTGATAATTATCACCACAATTTGGTGCTAATTAAATAATAAGGGAAATTTTGAATTTGATTATATCACTAATCAGTATAATATGGATCCAAAGACCTGGTGGCTACTTCATGGTTTACATGCACTTTTGCTTCAAATCATTACTTTGAAACTTCTTGTATAACATTTTTCTTCATCTTGTGCTGAAAGCTACTTAAGATTGTTAATCTATCATTAGATGAGCCAAAGTTGGGGAATGTTATTTTTAATGATAATGAAAAAGTTGATGTCGGTGATGTTGAAGAATAAAAAGTTGGGATAATTAAAGATTAATATAAAATGCTTTAATATTTTATTTTATTTTGTGTGTGTGCGTACACACACACACATGTACCAGCATATGTATGTATGTATATGTATTTGTGTATATTAATATATCCGCATAACTTTGATTTTTTTAAAAAATTTGTATCAGTATACCCATATCATATCATATTCGATCCATGCTTCTTAGCATCTAGTAACATAAGCTCTTATATTAAGTAGTTTGACGGTATCCAATAATAATTTACTCATGATTTATTGGATATTATGTCAAATTTTATTGTGGATATATTATAGTGTATGAGATCTTATGATTTGATTTATGCAATGGATATGTTATCAAAAAGTTTTGCATGTATCCGAGCCTTTGCAAATTGAGAAGGAAAAAGTGGTATATTGTAGCTAGTCCTTGGAGACAATAGATTATGCCTAAAACATAAGTACCATATGAACGTAGAAGCATTCTTACTAAAAAGATATGAAGTGCTTGTTTAATAAAACTTTATTAAAATTTTATGAACTTTTCAACTGGTCAAACTTTAATTTAACTACAAATTTTATGATATTCACAATTTTTATCAACTTGTTAACCACACATTACATCAATTTTTGGAAAAATCTGCTAAAATTTTGTCAAACAATCCCGAAATGTTTTACCAGATCAAAAAATCTTTATATGCTTTAAAATCTTCTCGAACCTTCAAAGCAGCAGCTTTTCATGGATCTCTTCATTTGATTAGCATATATGGTAGATTATGACTGACACAGTTGCAAACTTATTAACTGCAATCTTCTGCCCTTTGTCCGTCACAAAAATGAAAAAGAAGATCAAACCAGTTAATAATCAGTTGTGTGCTTGAGTTGGACTCTTGAATAGTTGAATATCCTTTTTCGGTGTTTTACCGAGCTCTTAATCCCATAGACCTAGTGGTTGCGTGTATTTTTTTGGCTATGGACAAAATGATTCAGAAATTCTAGAGTATGATTAAATGGTATGTTTTCAGAAGACAGGAAAACAAGCCAAAAAGCAGGACAAAGAAAATAATTGCCACCTAACATTGATTTTTGGTGTGGTAGGTTGCTGAAAATACTTGAGGAAAAGTTGTTTCTTAATGAAAGGGCTATGAAAGAAATTCTTCATTTGACTTCATTTTCTAGGCTAACAGACTGAAGGTGCTTCTTTTTGTGGTTTTGGTGTTAAACTTTGCCTATTATCCACCACAGTACCTGCCGATATGTATCTATGTAGGCCATACCTGAATAAATAAGTTATTTAGCTGATACCTGGAGAAAAATTTATCAAGGACTAGTATTTCAGAATGGTTTTGATTTGTATGTGGCTTGGTCTCCGCAGATGCTCCATCAGTTCACTTGTTCAAGTATCTGTGTCTGGTCCTAAAATGATGCTTTGAGGTTCCATCTTTATGGATGAGTAGTGTATAAGTTGGTCTTTTTTTTTCAGTTTTATTGTGAGAAGTAAGACTGCAAAGAAATGGAAGGAGAGATATTCCAAAGGGCATTAAGACAGATCGAGCACAAGACAAAAAATTGTGAATGCAATTAACATTCATTAAAAGATCAAATGGACATTAAATGGCCTCACAATTTTTTACTGACAAGCTCAAATCTATATAAACTAAACCTGAATTACAGAAATGAGAGCCCGGAATTCTCAGCCCAAAAGGAAAGGATAGAATAATCATGTTGAGGGGAAGGGAGGGATTTAATTTTTCTTATGTGCTATGCACGTCTTTGGCGTTCCTGTTTGCAAAACTTGAATGGAACTTGTTACATTCAGTTTGCGCAAATTTTACTCAAATGTTTCTTATTTATTTGGCAGGGCCATGAAGGTAAATTCTCTGTCTATGTGCATGCGTCAAAAGACAAACCAGTGCATTTCAGCCGTTACTTTTTGAATCGGGAGATTCGCAGTGGAAAGGTGTATATCTCCTTGCTGAACTTATTTTATGGTTTAATTTATCTAAGTTAAGTTAATAGAGCATTTAAGTGGTTTGTATTATTTACAAGCTTAATAATTTGGGCAATGATGAAAGTTTCTTTTGTGCTTGTTTATTGTGTAGAATGCTCATGTTACGAGATCAAACTTATGGTTTCTAATTTTTGTATCATTATTTGAAGTTGTTGATTTTTCTCTGCATGTCTTCTTTTGCAAAACATTACTGTGGGTCACCTGATTATATGTCCACTGTGTCTAAAATATTGATGGATACTTTAAATGAGGGATTACAAAGGCATTCCCCAAGGAATGTTGTACTTTCTTATTCTTCTTTCCTTATTTCTGTCTATTTTCTTTTCTGTGGCTTAATAAAGTGCCAAGGGTCTGAATTCAGGTCAAGTCCTTCTCCAATATGCTTCTAAATCAGGGTCTTCATAGACAGTCGTATAAGGAACCATATGTCATTCATTTTTCAAGAGGATGTCATATTATTTCCTTTGCCACATTATATGCTGAAGTTTAAAATCAACTGTAGTGCCACACAATAAAGTGCCTTGGACTCTGTGGAATCTTCTTTCCCTTTTTAAGGATTGTGTCTACGTTCAATGCTGAAGTCATTGATGAAGAAGCAGTTCGTGGAAAAACATGCTTAGGATATTAAAAACCTTCCTGGAATAGGGGGCTATTTCTTATCATTGTGGTAAATTTATTAGAAGGGTATGGGATTGGTTAAGTTCTATCATCTGTGACTCAGGCGTCAGTGCTATATGTGGTTGCAGTGCATCCAAGGAACTTTATAGGCTGAATGTAATGCTTGGGAGACTTGTTAGATTTATGAAATTTAAAGAAGTCTCGGGAACATATTTTGACTTGATATATTCTTTCGATCCTGAATTCAGTGTAGACGATCTTGTATGTAGAACAAACCATTAATGCTACTTTAACTTAGAGTTGCATTTGTTTAGATAGCTAATGATCCTTCCACAACCTAATTTTCTTAGATCTCGTTACATCATGCAATTAGTGGCTATGCTTCCCTTGGATATTTATACGCCTTATGTTTGTGATTTTTATTTGTTTTAATATTCTGGACCAGGTGTAAACTCTTGTGCTGGTAGACCTGAGATTGCCTTTAGCTGAACATTTGTATTAATTCATTTTTGTAGGTAGTATGGGGGACAATATCGATGATAGATGCAGAAAAACGTCTTTTAGCAAATGCACTCAAAGATCCTGATAACCAGCATTTTGTACTACTTTCTGACAGGTGACTAAATGATAATGCCATTGTTGTGTCCTTTTCCCCTTCAATTTTGGGAACTCATTTAACTAGTTGCTTTCTGATTAAGCATTTTTCATGAACTGCAGTTGCATACCACTTCGTAATTTTGACTTCGTCTACAACTATCTCTTGTACACAAATGTTAGCTATGTAGACAGGTAAACCTAACTTCATATCTTTTCTTTCTTGTTTAAACTGGTAATACACTTCCTGTGTATTCTTCTTTGATTAATAAAATTTTCTGATTATCTATAAAAAAAAATCTCATAATTTTATACTTGAAAAAAGAGCATAGGAACTCCAAAACAATA